TGCCAAGTGCAGTGTTCATAAGAGAATGCATGTGTAAACAATTGTCCTATTAATCTTATTTTAGAACAACAAGATGATCAGGAAAGGATAGAAGAAAGACTAGCACATATTGCTGATCATCTTGGATTCAGCTGGACAGGTAAAGTATAACCTAGTAGAGATCACAGTTGTTAATCTGTCTTTTTGCCAGAAACATCAGTTTCTTCATGTTTGCTTATTCCAGGGCCATGCAACATTATGTCTTCCAGTTATTTTTGAGTACAACTCCCAACATCTCTGAACATGCTGACTGGACAGGTTGAACTTGTAGTTCAAAAATTCTAATAGCAATCCAGTTCTTCCTTTGGTTTTGACTCTTCCTTGAGTCTTTCAATAAAATGCACTGAAGATTTAATCTTATTGGCATGGTATAAGTTTAATTGGTATAGGTGTGTATGCTATCTTATTATATAAGTATGTATATATACATATGAAATTACAATAGATCTGTGTTATAAAATAAATATTTTCTGTTATTATAACTATTATTAACATTGATCTTTGCTGCCTCACAGTGATTCACAATATGCCAAAATACAATAAAAGGCCCACAGTAAAGCAAAAGTACCATGCATGTTCATAAAAAAAATGAGAAACATCCATTAGTATTTTAAATAAACAAATTGACATCTAAATAGCAAATTTTCATCACTTCCCAAAGTCCTTCTGGAAAAGTTCAGTGTTTAATAATTTCCAAAAAGCTATCACCAAGGGGACCAGGCTAACATGATGGAAAAATAGCATTTTCTGGTCTCTCACGCCAACATCCTTCACAAAATTAGGTTATCAGTAGGACCACCTTGGACAGGCTGAATCTGGAGTAAGTGATCCTGGTGACACCTAGGTACAAAACCACGTAGGGCTTTAAAAAATTGAAAATAGCACTTTGAATTGTACCCAGAAACCAGTGCAAGGCCTGCAAGATACTGTAGATATACAGTGATCATAGCAACTAGCATCAGTCAACAAGCAAACTATATTTTGGATGAACTGCAGCTTCCAAGTGATCGTTCAAGGAAGTCCCACAGTACAATGCAAAAGTATATTGTTTCAGCATAAATATAATCCATGTTTTTATTATTTGAATAGAAAGGAAAGGCACCATTATAGATAATAAATAAATAAATAAATAATACATCTTTCACTTTGTGAGATGTACTAAATGCGAATGAACTGTTTTGCAGATAGTAGAAAATCATGTTAACCCATGTACTTAACGCATAATACAGATGTATTATTGCTGCTTTGAGATTAATCTTAATGGAAACTAAGCTGTGTTTTTAAAACAACAGTTAAATGTAGTTTGAACACATGAATAAGTCTTCCATGAAAACAATAGAACATTAGTTTCGTAACTAAGCAGAATTCATAAAAGATCAAGTACAGGAGATGGCAAATTTTTTACAATTTTGGACTCCATTGTTTTTATCATTTTTACAGGGAGCATGGAGGTGATGCAATGATATCCCCAGAATGGCAGGGTGAATGTTGTGCCATTTATCCAAATTTAGGAGGCTGAAGATATTGTAAAAGTACAGTAGATGCATTACACTTATTGGAGTCTTAATGTACCTGTTTGAATTGCACACCCATAATTTAGCAATTTGCCCACAAAAGTTGATGGCTGTAGGATGGGAGCTGTACAGGGTGAAAAAGAGGGGTACAAAGGTGCCACCCCGGATCCTGAAGCTACAGAGAACACTTCAATTAAAAAACATGATGGTGATAGTGAGCAAGTGCAGCGTAGTGATTATAACTGGATTGCAACCGAATAAGTCATAGGTTCCAAGTATAACTTTAACAATGTTCCATATCTACAATAACAAAAAATATTGTCTACACCAGTGTTGTCCGAACTTGGCCACTTTAAGATGAGTGGACTTCAACTCCCAGTATTCCCCAGCCAGCATGGGAGTTGAAGTCCACTCATCTTAAAGTGGCCAAGTTTGGACAACACTGGTCTACACACTGGACAAAGCTGTTAAATACTATCAGATTTACCTATCTACATACCTGTCTCAGTATATCTTATTGTTTTTACTGGGTTTATTCTAAGGTGAGTAGAGGATTGTAATCTAAAAGTAACAATCAAGTGATAAATGTTTGTAAAGAATTGCAACTGGCCAAAATTATTTGAATACTTTGTGTTTACAGAGCTAGCAAGAGAATTGGATTTCACTGAAGAACAAATTCATCAAATTCGAATTGAGAATCCTAATTCCCTTCAGGATCAGAGTCATGCACTACTGAAATATTGGCTGGAAAGAGATGGAAAACATGCTACTGGTATATTTATTTTAGCAGTTACCATCCCTCACTTCTTCCATTCTGACAGCCAAGTGCAGTGTTCATAAGAGAATGCATGTGTCATACAAAATAAAAGCAATACAGTATTAAAGCTACTACATACACCCAGGCACACACATACCGCATATGGATTTCTGTAGATGATAATTATCTATAATCTAATCTCCTATCTCTAAAAGTAGCTGCACGGTTGAGACCAACTTATTTGAGACTATGGGACTGATGAAAAAGAGTTCTAATATTTATCTTTACCATTTTCTCAGTGATATAGAACTGTTTATATCCGAATGATATAAACCAACATGCTCGCAATCTGTTTGTATGCTTCTCTCGGACGACAATAATAACTTGAAGGTAGCATGGTTTTAAACTAAAACTGATGCAAGTAGAGAAAGATAAACCTGTTTTCCTGCCCTGCAATCTATTTATCACTGGCCTACTTCTAAACAATGTACTGTAGAATCCTGTACCTCCTATTCCTAGAACATTTAAAATGGGAACTTGGCAATAATGTATTGGTAGTAGCCATCAAAGAATTGATGTATTCAGTGATTCCTAACCTGGCAACTTCCAGGTGTGTGGACTTCAAGTCCCAGAATTCTGAGCAATGCCTATGTGGACTGGGGTATTCTGGGAATTGAACTGCACATATATAGAAATTGCCTAGATTGGGAAATGCTGGTCTGTACCTTTTATGCACAGTGTTCTGGCTGTTGCTTTTCATGTATGCCAATTAATATTTTTCCTTTATTAACTCACTATAAAGTGTAGGGATTGTCTCTCAATATTGCATATACAGTAAACTATTTGCTATTTGCTATGTGCAATTTCCACTTTCAAAGCAACTGTACCTGCATAATCTCCAGGTCAATTCTGTGTATTCTCCAGGATGTCTTGTGCTTGTACATACTTAAAAGAATAAGACAGCTCTATGAATGGATATATCTTTCCTTCCTAATATGGTTACAAACATTAATAGGACTCTTCCAATATTTTTTTTTTCTGATAGGTAGATGACAGGGATGTGGATAGAACTCTTTCATAATACATTTTTCTTCATTATTTTTATTTATTTATTTATTATTTATTTATTAAATTTATACAGCTGCCCATCCCATTTGTGATTCTGGACAGCTTACAATTAAAACATAGATAGAACCAGTATGTTATTAGCTACTTCATCCCTAAGAAATAATCTCATTTCAGCAATCAAGTTAGCTAGTAGCTTTCTACTATTACGTACAGGTAGTCCTTGTTTAGTAACCACAATTGGGACTGGCAACTTGGTCATTAAATGAAGAGGTCACTAAGTGAAACCATGACTATGCTTATGATGTTACTTCAGGTTTCCTTTGCTTTATAGAATTGCAAAGGTTGTAAATGTGAGGATTGGTCATAAAGTTACTTTTTCATCACTGTCATAACTGCAAACGGTCGCTCAACAAGGCAGTCGCTAAGCAAGGACTACCTATATTGCTATAGACTCCTAGCTACGTACTTCCTATTGGAATGAAGGGACTAGCAGTGCAGCTTTTTTGGCTGCTTTCTTCAGAAGTGTGGATAACTTGTGCTAAGTTATCACATGGTCACCCTTTCCATATATCATGCTCTGAATGTGTACAGTGGGATAAATGCTACTTGGAAGATTTTTTTTAAAAAAAACTATTTCTGGAGGCAATTCATATCCTTCCCCAGGAATATAATCTGACAACTAGAGAGATAAAAAGAAAGAAAAATAAGTAAAGACTGTTTTTCAAGTGGTTAGAGGCAGTCTTATACTCTACCCTCCTACTGGCGGACGTCACAGCAGTTATGTAGGAACTGAGTGGATACATTAACTCTGCTGCTACTGACATATGTACAGATTGTTAAAAATAAATGCTGTCTCTTCCATAACACAGATTCAGGTCTTACAGAGTGTCTTAAAAAAATTAATCGAATGGATATTGTTCATCTAATGGAAAGTAGCATGGAAATGTCCCGAGATCATGGTCGCACCTATGCAGAAATTGAACAGACAATGGTACTGGATCACAGTGAAGGTAAGAATATGCTTACACATGCATGCTTATTATACGATAACTCATTGTTATCAAATAATAGCCATCAGTGTAACTGAGATAACCATCAGTTATCCCATATCATAGAGAGCATTCCCATCAGTTCATATAGGAATAAATACAAAGCTTTTCAATATTGTAGTAGTGATAATGAGAAGTGAATCATCCTGTGCTATATCACTGAATATAGAGAGATCAAATAGTTTATATGTACACTGAAATCCTGTCTATATGGTGTTTTATAGACAGGTTTGGTAGAAATCACTAGCAAGCTCTTAAATTTGAACATATGGCATGAACAGTAATTTAATTACTGTTAAATGTAACAAACTTTTAATTTATATTTGGAAACTGCTCAGTGTGGGGAGTTGCTTGTATATAGGATCTTTTAGCCTGAAAACTTTGCTCTACATGACATCACTACAAATCTGCATCTAGATAGAAATTACTTCATTTTTAAAGATTAAATGATTGTTGTTTTACTTTGTCTTCAGGGTTCTCTGCACTTCATGAAGATCTATGCAGCACAAAAGATAAAAAGGAGGAAGAATATTCCTTTTCTAAAGGCAGTGAGCAATCTGATCATCCTCCCCTTGTTTCAGAAGAAGACCTTTCTGTCAGCTACTCACCCTTGCATGAAGGCACATCTAAGGCTGAGGCAGAACTATCTGTGGTAGAACTACTACACCAAACACAGAAAGATCATGTGAAAGCTGAATTCTCAGGGAAGCCTCATGAGCTGACAGAAGATTCACCTACTACACAGGAGTATGTGTAAGAATTCTACAGTGGGGCAAAATGTACAGTAATAGGGAATATTTATTGCATAGAGATCATGTTACATGACCAAGCAACAAATGCAAATTTTGCATGATTAGAAATCCTTCAACTTTGTCAAGAAAAAAATAAATGAGCTAAATAATTTCTAAAATTTCAGAGAAAAATAATCTCTATATGATTGATATATCATTTTAAAATATTCTTGGACTTACTAATTTAAATAGAAATAAACCATAGAATTATTTATGATTTATTATGTTTCTAAACATTTGTCAAATTTCTGAGTATGTTTTTAGTATGGCAAAATATTCAATTCCTAGTGGCATCATTGTCATATCCATCTAGTTTTCTTGGCAACAATCTGATCTAGAAGTGGTTGGCCATTGCCTACATCTGGGATGTTTTTCAACTTCTCAGTCTCCCATCTGAGTAAACCAAGTCAAACACTGCTCAGCTTTTTGAGATCAGCCAAGGTCATCTAGATACTGGATTAAATTTTCACTGAGGAGGAGACAGTGCTACCATGAACAGAGTGTCAATCAATAAGAGTCCAAAGATACCCAAAGTGAATAATCCTTGAGTTTTCCTGTTCCTAGTCCCAGAAATACAACAGATGATTTTTAGAATAAAAGCGCTCATGTAATATTACCCTGAATTAAATAAGCACAAATAGACAATTACTATGGTAAATGTGACAAACTGGAAATTAAACCATTAATGGAATATTTTCATTGATACTTTTTTTCCTTCTGCTGTTATCCTGTGGTAGCTGATTATGGGATTGTGGCCAAGAATTCAGGGAGGCCAAGTCTTTTTTAAAAAGGGGAGGAAATTGAGGGGCTCTTTTCTATTAGAAAGTCCCACCACTCTTAGTCAAAGTGGATCATAATGGATTGCTGGAAATGTAGACTGGTTTTGTTTAAGACAAATTACCACACAACATATTGTTAGATGTCTGTTTTTGTCTGATGATACACAGTTTATTTGAAAATAAGTTCTAATATACAGTATTTCCAAAGAAACATGAAACTTGTAAAATATCAGATTTGTAGTCATGACAATGAACATTCAATGAGTATTGAATTCTCACTTGTATTCTCACTCAATTGTATCCCTCTTTATTCATTTCAGAACGTTATGTGCCACTTTTCAAAACCAAGTGGCTTTATAATAAATCTTATTCCTCAAAGAAAGTGAGGAGTAGAGCAAGTAATCATTTGTTTCCTTGAATCTTTATTAACAGTGTCACAACTTCTGGAACAGATTTGACACAAGTGCCCCAAAATGTTAAAACAGCCAGCATTGTCAGTGACAAATCTGGGGATTCCACAGCAGGATGTGAGGACCTGGAAAGGCCATCCTTTCATACTCCAACATTTAGTGATCGAACTGATTCCCCCATTGTGGAAGAACCTGAAGACCATCACTTCCACCAAGAAGATACATATCCAAGGAAAAATAGCCTGGTGATTGTTGAATCCACTGATGAACCGCCTGAAAAATTAGAAAGATATGAAGAAGAATTGTTAGAAAAAGTAAGTTGCAACACTAACATGATGTATCAAGTAGTGTCCTTGGAAGGATTTATGATTGGGAAGAAGGAAATCTTTAACATAATCTTATTTAGTGCTCAGAACAATACACACAGATAATAAGAAACAGGGCTTTTCACACACAATAGATTAAAAGACTGTTCTAAGAAAAGAAAATTGAAAGACGGATGCACTGAAAAATGCAAGGCAGAAACACAGAAGTGAAGAGAGAGAAATCTGACTAAAAAGCTGCTATCAGCTGAGTAAGAACAGAGTAGGCCTGAACGGAAAAATCTGAAATGGATTTAAGAAGAATTCTTTGGAAAGAAAAAAAAGGAAAAAAACATAGCAAGATTAAGATACAATATTATTGTAGTATATGATCACTGTATGGGAAGGAAAAAAAGATAGCAAATATTCTGACAGCTTTTCCAAACATGTATATTGGCAGCAAAATAAGCATTTGTTCAAACTATACACTTTTCACTGGCCCTTTTATTTCTACAGAGAATGCATTAGGAATTGCATTGTGAATGAAAATGCACTTTTGTTCCATAGCAATTGGGAATTGTCAAAACCTTTCTTTAAAAAAAAATCAGTTAAATCAGAAAATAATAAAAGCTGCACAATTCTTTTTTTCCAAAGAGGTGTTTGGGAACATTTAGGAGCATGCATGGAGCAGCTGTCTTTGAATGGAAAAGCAGCTTTATCCAGATGTGTGTGGCTACTTTGGAAGCTATCCTTGACCATATCTGCATGCTTGTACATGCCCAAGTATTTCACTCACTGGGGAAAATGAAATGAACTGGCTGTACAGGCACAAACACATGGGAACAGTCAGGAGCAGCTTCTGAAGCAATCGCACAAGTCTGAAAAAAGAATGGCTACTTTAACCTATAAAAAGAGGTATTTCACTGAACCACTTCTTTCAAAGGTTTTGCTCACCTCTAGAAAATAATCCATTTTTTTCCCTTGAAAACTTGGTTACAATGTTTGGATTGTCCAATATAACAGTGACCCAAATATCAGCATCCCACCTATAGTCCTTCACAGCTACCTGGTACTTTGAAAGTTGCCACCATGGCCTCTTAGTCATCATTGTAAGCCTCTAAGAAACCTGTCCCAAGTGTCATTGCATATGAATCACAACAGCAAATATGTAATGGACAGATTTTATTTCTAGGATCTTTAGCTGAAGATACTGCTATTGCAAAGGTGAAAAAGATTTTGAAAATATCCCAGAACTATTTCAATCAAAATTAACTGTTTTCTAAGCGTAAAGGAATTCTATCTCTATTCACTGGCTAAAAGATAGCAGCCAATACTTTTTAGTAATTATTCAGTAACTCAAAATTACAATATAATCTAGTTCCTAATTAAACAAGTTGCTGGAAATTCTTATCTGATTAGTCAAACTGGGTTTATGGAAGATGACGTTTTAAGTATATCTGCATTATTCAAACTGATACACTGCTCTTAGTACATGGTATCAAAAGAAAGTTGAAGGCAGGTTTTCCAAGATTGCCATAGGCTAAGATGCCATTGGATATTCAAAAAAGATTTCATTATCTTATGTTCAGCCCAAAGAAAGAAAGAAGTAGTGTAGCATATTTTGTAAGGTATCTCATTCCAGCAAGCATTGGTATGGTGTTCATTTTGTTATTAGACAAGGGCCCAAGTATTCATTCATATGTACAGTACCAGTATGATGAGAGCAATGCTTCCATGCTTCCACTAGGAGCTAGCAGAGGAATTAGGTGAGCTGGAGGTCAGCTCAGATGAGGAAGAGATGGTAACTACCAGGGTCGTTCGCCGCCGGGTGATTATTCAGGTACAGGAGCATTGAACTATTGCACGTACCAGTGGCGATTATGTCCTAGTTATACTTCCAGAACCCACCCTTTCCCCAAAGGCCTGTTCCTGAAGCACTCCCTTGGCTGACAATGCACTGGTGAATTTGGCATGTCTCTGGATAATGCATGTCCATTGATTAACATAAATATTTTTCCAATTTGATTTGGAAAGTCAAGGAATGGAAATCCAAATGGTGGACATTTAGTTTGCATTTTGAGAAAGACTATCCCCCTGACAGAGCAAATGGTTTGATTTGCTGCTTCAGCACCACCTAGCCAAATTCTTTCTTCTTCCAAGTTTGCATGCTTTTAAAAAGGATTTATTTGCAGAACTTTTAATAGAGTTGGAGCAATTTCAGTGCTTCTTGCTTAATTTATGCTGTTGTTGTTTTAACCAACTAACTTCTGTTATGCAGTTTATTTAAAATAGCTAGTTATTTTTTCTGAATTCTGTTCTTTGTTCAATAGGCTGATGATGTGCCTGAAATGCCACCAGAAGCTGTAACGGAGGAACAGTACACTGATGAACACGGCCATATTGTGGTGAAGAAGGTATTCAGCTGATGATTTCATGGGGGAAGTATAAAGAGCATTAATTATATTTGACCCATTTTCAAGTGTTGCAGAGTTAAACTGAGGAACATGCCACTCTAGGACACTTAAACATACGTAACAAAGAAATCTTTTTTGGGAAGTGAGAATTTAGGCTCTATGCATATCACAGCTACTTTGCATGGGATAAAACAAACCATTTTATTTGTATATATATTTGTATGATCTTTTTTCTTCATTTTGACAAAATAGTTTCTGTATATTTTTCTGTAGGAATATTTGCAAAATCATGGGAGTAGAAGCATGTTACAATAGGCTGTAATGTACTCAATAATATATATCACGTGATGGATATATTAAAATTGCTTGAAATAACATTTTGATGTTCTAATTCTTAATTGAAATTGTGCCTCATATTACCTGCTAATGTAATAACAAGTTAAGGTTTATTTGGGTATGCAAACAGAGAGAGAATGCTAGATATTTTAAAGGACAAATATGACTGCTATGATTTAAAATTCAACCACATGGTGACAGAACTCTTGATGAACATGCCACCCTACTAGGTCACTAGGAAGATCATCAGGCGATTCGTTTTGCCAGATGGAACAGAAAAGGAAGAAGTTGTGATGCAAGGAGAGCCTCCAGAGCCCATTACACTGGAAGAGGGAGATAGTTATTCCAAAGTCCTAAAGCGGGTGGTGTTGAAGAGTGACAGTGAACAATCAGAGGTTAGATTATATATTTTTTTGCCAAGGTTTTATTTGTTGAGAATTCTCAAAATTGGCACTAGTATTATCCTAACAGAAATTACTCTGACAATTGCATTTAATTGTAAACTTTGTTCCATAAGGCTCATTTGCATGTGCCTTATTTAAACTGTTTTTATTTTTAATGTTGATTGTTGTTCACATTTTTAGATTAATTGGAAGATGGATTTTATTGGGGGGCATTTGAGTGTTGAATATGGTTTTACGTTTTTGTTGGATGGATTGAGTTCTTTGTATAATAAATAAATAAGGGGAGATTCACACAGGGGCTGCACACCTAAGCATGCAGAACTGTAAGGCAATTTGAAAAAGAGGTGACCGAATCCTGTGACTGGGGTTTACTCATCACAGAGATTTTTCTACTTTTCTCTCTAAAACATTTTTGTGTTGGAAATAGAAACACAACTGGAAAATTAAAAGGTTACAAACATAACTACATTCTGAAATAGACATACTGACACAGTAACAGAAACATAACTTTTGCAGGGAGAGAGCTAGTTAATTGCTGAATGGTAGGACCAATTAATACCATAAAGTCATTTACGCTTTTAATTTATGTTTTTTACTGCATGCCAAGCTTGACTTTGAAATCCAACACAGGTAGTTAGGGAGAACTCTTTAGCCATTGGCGTGATTAGGCTTGCATGGCTGAAAGAGAAAACCATGCATTCTGTTTTTGAGGTTTTGTTTTATTTTATTTTTAAGTTTTGCTTTCAAGTCAGTCTTGACTCCCAGTGACTAGACAGGCATATTCAATGTTGGCAACATTTTCAGAAGTGGTTTGCTGTTGACTTCTTCCTAGGGCTAAGAGGAGAAGACCCAAAATCACTCGTTTGGGTTCTGGACTCAGATCAGGAGTAGATCTTAGATCTTCCAACCCCTAGTCCAGCACTTTAACCAACTGGACCAAGCTGGCTCTCATTTTTGAGATAGGTCATGTTTTACAATATCTAAATCAGATTAGGTGAATAGCTGAAAGAACTAGATACACTTTCCTGTGGAAAGTTTTGTGATATACTGATTCGTTCAGTTCTTGGAAAATGTTGTAGCTGGGAGCTAGACTTGTTAAAAAATTTCTCTACAATTTGTATATTCATTTTACTGAAGAAGCCAGATGAATAAGTAGCAAGATTATGTTTTGGGCATATCTAATCACCCAATAACCTTGGTTCTGGCATAAGCATCCAATTATTCGTGAAATCTTTTTCATAGATGACTTTTTCTGAGCCAAGTGTTTTATCAAGTGCCTCAGAATTCCAGGCTGAACCAGTGGAAGGCCGCAAGGTCAGCAAAGTTATAAAAACTACCGTAGTGCATGGGGAGAGAATGGAAAAACATCATGGAGATTCTAGTTTAGCAATGGATCTTCCATCAGCCAAAGATGACTTCGAAGAGGTGAGATATTTTTATGTTTTTGGCAACACTGCAAGAACTGCAGTAGTACTAAGGGCAGAAACATATATATGTACATAGAGAAATCATCAATAGCTAACTGTAATGAAGCAAATGTGGAGTTTTGATTATAGAAATGTATCCTTTTTCAACATGTTCAGAGAAACTCGATATAAACATTCACAAAGCCTTTTCATCCATCTGAAAAAGACCTGAGAATATCATCTAATGGAGCCTAACAAGAGATCACTCTGGATCTTAATTTTAGGTCTTATACAAAGCTGCGAAAAGTGCTTTGCTATGCTTTGATGATGCTTTAAGCAAAGCACTCATTTGGAGCTGCTTTGAAAAGCAGTGCTGCCGCTCGAGAACAAAGCAAACCCATCATATTCCTTCACTCACTGTCCCTTCCAGGATATCCAGCAGCTGAAAGGAACTTTTATACTGAGGTAGCACATACTTTGTGCGTGCACAGAAGCCTTTTCTGCTGCTTCCAATTAGTTCAGTTGACCACTTCCAGTATCTCATTAAAAGGAAGAGATACAGGAAGAGGCCCTACACATACAGGAACATTTTCTACCTACAGAATTTGCCAATAGAAGCAACTGAAACAAAAGTGCTTCATCAAGACAAATCATATCATCCCCACTCCTTGACAAGGCCAATTGGGGCCAACTTGCCTAGGCATGTTCATTACTATACAGTGAATTTAGTTGGAACCTTTCAGAATTTCCACATTTTTCCAGACAAAAGGAGAATCAGGCTTCCCCATTTGGAACTAATTGTATAGCAGGACTTGGACGTTTATCAAAGATTAGTAAGTATCAAACTTTTTCCAGATACATTTGGAGCAGGATTGCAAAATCATGATATCTAATTTGATTAAAAATATTATCCAGTATTGGATGAATAAATAGAGGATAGATAATTTCTGCTCAGATAGGAGGGATGTCAGCACCACCTTCTTTTTACCATATTTCCAGATTGAACAAGAAGCACCATTTTTAGATTGGATGAATTAAAACGCAGCATGCAAAACCACAGTGGAAGGCAACATATTTGAGGGCTATAGGAGAGAAATCTCCAGTACGAATGTACTCTAACAATACAGCTCAATTTACAATTGGGGTTATTTTACTCATAAATCAAAAGAGCAGAATTTGTAACTGGAAAAGAAGGATTAACATATAAAACTTCCACTCAAAGTATAAGAAATATAATTTATGGCTTGAGTGTTTATATCCCATTTGAAATGTGTATGTGATAAGGACAACCTTGGATCAAATCACTTGTCTAAGTGCCTTTTTTCTAATCAGCAAAATCCCAACTGTTAGTAAGATTGGGGCTCTTACTGCCCTCTCTGAGTTTCCTCAAGAAGAAAAGGCCTTGTTCTTCTCCACAAGAGGTCATTTGTCTCCACCAGGAGTTCTGAATTAATTCTCAGTAAGAGTAGATTCTATTGTTTGGCACATATTTCAAAATTCTTATTAAGTACAGAAGATGCAGCTAGGTAATTAATACTTTTTTTCATATATATATATGATTTTTCTCATTGGTTGTTCTGATATTTTAGCAGGTTGGTATAATTAAGTTGTATTTGGGGTCTTTTATGCTACAGTTATGCTTCCTGTTTTACTTTAGGCCCTGAGTTACATAGGTAACAAAATGAAAATTGAAGTCCCCCCATTAGTAGAGAAAGAGGTCATGAAAGAGGATGGTTCGCTTATTAAAAGGTTTGAGTTGGCATGACACTGGCCTGTTTAGTAGCCAAAGATTTAACAGACTAACCGTCATAGTATTTGAGTAAAATAATGTCAACTTGCAGTCTCAGTGTCCTAAGCATTACCTGGAAACTAACATATTTTGTGGAAGAAGGGAGAATCAACTGATGGAACAAACAGTTGTTTTGGAAATAAATCAACTACAATTCTGATTCTAAGTTCTTATTGTTAGAATTGTAGAAACATTTTGCATGACAAATTTAACTATGTTGTGTGAAAGTCAGTGTGTCACGAGAACAGGAAAACCTGGGAAATGAACTGGACAATTAATTGACATGCTTTAGCTTTAGGTCCAACTCCAAAAAGACCCAAATTTTTTTTGGGGGGGCTAAACTAAAGCCCCCAATAAATGTCCATGTCACTGAAACTACTTACCTGGAATTAATTATGATTTCAATATAACTGAAGGGAAAGAACTGTCTTTTACACCTAATAAATTACTTTTGGGATGTAATTCTGGGTGATTACTGCAGAAATCTCTTACTTGAAGAGAAGTAGTAGTAAAAAATATTGAATGACACATTTGTTTGTATTCCATCTTCCTGTACATGAGGTACTTTGGAGTAAAATCTTTAAGTATGGGGAGGAATGACAAAAACTGGCAGGTTTGTAGTGAGGGATACGGTTGCCCTTCTATCATTTATCTTGTTAATATTTCCCTGTTGCAGGACATTCATGCAAAGTCCTGCTGGATTAGAACATTTAAATATAGCATGACAAAGGCACTGATGTTACAAAGCAATAATGTCTGACTAAGTATTCTTTTCCCAGTAGCAGAAGAGGGGAAAAAACCCTTTAAAAAACACATTTATAACTGAAAGTTTCTGACTGGTAACATTTTTGCATGTTTGTATGATTTTCATAAGTTGTTAACATCTGTATGAAAGCATGCATTTGTAACATCCAGTCCTAAAAGGGGTATATATCTTGGGTTGTTGAACAAAACAACTTTTAGTACCATGAGGATTAAATAAACTTTTGTGCTGGATTCCAAGCCTTAATGGCCTAGAATTCAGTTCATCAGATGCTGAAATGCATAAATGAGTGTGGTGATATTATTTTTCCCCACCTTGTTTTACAAAAGTACGTGCATGTAAAAGTTCAAACAGTACAAAAGACAGTTTAAACTATCCTGTTCTCACTCTACATAGTATTGTGACAAAACTTGCACTGGCTTGACTTGTTGATCTTAGTAAGAAGCAGGCTACAGTCTGTACCTACAATCCATTTAGGCAGCACTTCCTTCCTGCCTGTGAAAGTCTATGCCATAAGAAGTTTCTCAAGAAGTTACAAGTTGCTGACACTTTAATAAGGTTACCAGTTTAAACCTTGATTGTAAATTTAGGCTTGTGTTGTGAAAGTGTATCATAAGAAAGGATTTTTTAAAAAAATTTCATTGATACTTCACCTATACATATTTATTCAGCACTTTTCCTAGCTCTTTCAAGTCTTTTCACCTACAGGAATCCAAAACTCATGCTAGAATTTTAAAATGAAAAAATAGAATGCAATTTCCTTAACAAATCCTACAAATATATTCATTGCCCTTTTGACTCCTTATAGGACAACAATGAGTAAAGCTAGTACACAGAAGAGGACTGTGGTTAAGGACCAGTATGGAAACCGGATTCATGTGGAGCTGCTGGAGGACACACCAGAAGCGCTACCCCAGGATGACCTTCAGCATGACCTTCAGCAACTATTAAGGCATTTCTGCAAAGATGAGCAGAAGAAAGAGGCCAAATGAGATGCTGCTAAATCTCACCCACAGACCACCACACATATCCATTAACTATCCAGCTTTATCCAACTTTCTTTTATCATAGGTGTTATTATTTAACATAATCATCAGGGAACACTTCTGTTTCTACTTTGAGCATATAGGGTAGGCTTTTCATTTCATTTCCTTTGTTTCTAAATATCTGTAAGCTAATTTTGTGACCAAAGATCATTCTGGATGATTTTATCTATTCATACTCATAGACTCTGTGCTCTCCTGACAGTCTGTCAAACTTGCTATTTTTATTTTTCTTTGCTTTTGCATCAGATCCATAGACACATCAGTTTCTTCCACAGGCCTCTTCAAATGACAGTGTACATGTGTTTTTTAAGGAGGTTATTAACTTTAAACTGTAAATAGGTAAAGTGTGTGGATTCACAAGACAGAAAGAAGCACTGCCTATTGCGACTACTTTTAGCATTGGGACTACAAGGTTTGTTGAAGAACAGTTCATGTAATATTGCTAACCCAATCCATTACGACTAGGACACGGATCTACTGAGAATGAAGCAAGTCAGTCCTCCTTGTTCATAGGACTTCCAGTGTAATGAATTACTTGACGAAAAAGTTTCTGAGAGTCAGAACAAAACCTCAAATTCCAGCTGTTTCCATTACAGTTGATTGTTTCTTTGCTTCCTGGGAAAGCCACCTCAAGATTTCCTGAAGAAAAATATACCCGGTTAGATATAACGTGCTAGCAGCTCTACTGTGGCACTTTCGCATACTGTATTCAAATCTTTTAGATCAGGGACATGAAACTGGGTGCATTCAGCAGTTCTGGTTATTGTACTGTTTTGATCACTCCTTTAGCAAACCACGCTGTCTTAGAAGTGGTTGTTTCTGCTGGCCATTGCACTATAGACGTTTCGAAGGAGGAAAAGAAACCCTTACCCTTCAGAAAACCCTTCAGAAAAATATAGTTGATTTATCACATTCTGTCAAGAGTTCTCTTAATCTGGCACACGCATGTGGCACTGGAGTATAAAAACACAGCCTTTCTGTAATCATGCCAATTGCTTCTCATCCTTCCTAGCACTGAGCGAGCAGATGTTAACATCCTGTTTGAGGTTTTTCCCCAATGTTTTACTGATGAGGAGACAGGGATCCACCAAGCATTTGTTTTTTCTTGCCATTTTATTTATAGTCCTTAACCACCTTTCAAGCATTGTCATGTAAATGTCTGCACTTTGATTTTCCAAGAAGGGCATATATGACCCTGGAATTATTCTGTGGTCTGTACCTAATTCTAATAGTGGTCTGAAGCTCTGTAGCATTTTAACATATATATGTAATTAGAGATATATATATATATAAAATATATATATATATTATATGAAATGATATACATTTTGAGTCAGTTATTTGATAAACACAAAGTATATTCAGCAATGATGAGTCAGGTCCTCTAGGGCTGAATATTTTTCAAAACCTAGCTAGCCTTTCTTTCTTTAAACAAAAAACGACTCACTGCTCAGAATGCCGAAAATAAATGTTACAAATGGCACCTCCTCATTAAGTAACAATGCCAAGAGAAAGGAAACATTTAAGGAGGTTTTGGTTTCCTGCTTTAAAAAAACCCTACTCAGTGCCATGCAAATTTGTTTTGTTGGCAAAGCAGGACACAAGCACTTATGACTGCCAAAATGAAAGGAGACCTAATTGCAGGACACACAGTAGCTCATTTCTCATTGTCAAGAACATCACTGTTTAACCTTCAAGACTGGGGCTCTACAAGAAATGCATTTCTGTTGTGTTATTTGCGGTGCAGATGATGTTCTGTGTAACAGCATAATGGCTATTCTCCTTTTTCAGTTTTGAATTTTTGCTGTGTTATCAGAGAACTTGAATACTGTGAGAAGGTGATTTTAAGTTGATAAATCAGCATCTTGTTCCCATGGTGATAACACTTAACTGAATATATCTATGAGGGCATGTATTAAAGATGTAAAACAAACAAACAGCACTAACAATACATAGCTGCAATGTGTACAATGGCTGATTTAATTAAATAAAAATGTAAAAGTGTTAAATGTAGCAATGATAGTATGCTCTCTCTCTCTCTCTCTCTCTCACACACACACACACACTCTTTTTGGTATTTAGAATGGGGAAATTCCAAATTTAGAATTTGGAAGCCTTAATTGCAAAATTACAATCCTGGCAATGTCTACACTGTTATGGTTAATTTTATGTGAGAGTTAATGAAGACCTTCAAAGTCCCAAAGGGCTTAAATAACTATAGGGTCAATTTCCTCCATTCTGCCCAACTTGTATCCTCAGATCCGAGAAGAGAATTATCTCTACATCCCAACAATGGCAAAGGCACATTTGATGGGAACAAGGAAAAAGACCATCTCAGAGTAGAACTTCCTTAAGAAGGCAACTTCTCAATGCCTTCTTTTTTAGAAAGGCTTTGACTCTAAAGGCAAAGTGAATATGTCATCTGCTATCTCTGCCTGCTGTTACTAGATTATTTTTCGTTTTTGGCTTTAGTTTGGTTTTGCTTTTCCTTTAAAATCACTTAAAGAGAATCAAAAACAAGATTAAAACTAATAATGATTTTATTTTGTATGGTTGGCCAACCTGGAGCAGTATGCAAATATAGTATATATTTGTGCATATATACTATATACCATGTATGTGTGTATATATGCACAAATACTCATAAATATAGTGATGTACAGGTAGTCCTTGCTTAGCAACCACATTTGGGACCAGCAACTTTGTTGCTAAGCAACACAGTCGCTAAGCAAGAGATCATGTGACTGTGACTTACAATTTTATTGCCAGCTTCTCCATTGACTCTGCTTGTTGGAAGCTGGTTGTGAAGCACACAAATGGGGAT